ATGTACCACTCCACTCTACCCAATATACCTACTCAAAAGGCAAATTCACAGAGGTCGCGCTGTATCATTTAGTCAGCAAAATTGAAAGCACCTTTCAATCTAAAGAGATCGCCTTATGTGCATTTCTGGATGTAGAGGAAGCTTTCGATAATATATCTTACGAATCCATATCTGGAGCTCTGGCCCGTAAAGATATAGACTCATGTATAATAACGTGGATAGATAGAATGTTGCGTGATAGGAACATATCGTTCAAGTTAGGTAGCACTATCGTCAGCATTAATGCTGTACGGGGCTGCCCCCAGGGTGGGGTTCTCTCACCATTGTTATGGACGCTGGTAGTCGACGACCTACTAGTTAAATTGGAGTAATCTGGATATCATGCCATAGGTCACGCAGATAACCTGGCAATCATTGTCACAGGTAAATTTGACACCAGTTACAGATGTAATGCAGACGGCATTACACGAAGTCTCGAACTGGTGTACCAAAGAAGGCCTAAGTATTAATCCAAAAAAAGCGGTAATTGTACCATTTTCCAGAAGGTTCAAAGTAAATCGTGGGTCCCTATCTATTAAAGATACGGCTATTGAATGCTCCGATGAAGTCAAATATTTAAGGGTCACCCTAGATAAGCGTCTTAACTGGAACACTCATCTGGATAATATAATTGGCAAAGTCACCCGGGTCATGTGGACATGTTGGACCTCATATGGTAGAACCTGGGGCATAAGTCCTAGAATTATATCATGGTTACACCGCACAATGGTCAGACCCATTGTTTCCTACGCAGCTCTTGTTTGATGGAATAAAGCGCAACAAAATGTTGCAATAGTCAAATGCAATAAACTGCAAAGACTCGTATGCATCGCTATGAGGGGAACTATTCGAACATGTCCCACATCAGCACTGGAGTCCATAGTGGGTCTCACCCCTCTGCACCTCTTTATTAAAAAGACAGCAGCAATGAGTGCAGCTAGACTGCACCCTGTTATCAACATGCACGGAAGTCTCGTCAGTCAAAACTCTATCTGCAGACTAGTTCCTGGCATAGAGATCTGCGATGGGACAGATTGCATGAACATAGAACTTCGCTTCGGTAGGAAGTTCGAAGTCCTCATACCCGATCGATTGGACTGGGTAAATGGCAGTCCTGGACTCGAACCAAAAGTGATATCGTGGTATACTGATGGTTCGAAAACCAAAGAAGGAGTTGGTGCTGGAATATTTGATCCAAACACCAGAATCTCGCTCGCGCTGGGTATATGGCCCACTGTCTTAAAAGCTGAGGTTCACGCCATCGAGGTCTGCGCTCGTATCAACATTAACAAGGGGTTGAAAGGCGCCCGAATCTGTATTTATTCAGATAGTCGAGCAGCAATCAAAGCGTTATGCTCCTGGAAGTTTTTCTCAAAACTTCTAGCAGACTGCTATGACACACTGCAGCAGCTGGCAAGCAATAATAAAGTGACACTGTGCTGGGTGCCTGGTCACACAGGAATTAATGGTAATAAGTCTGCCGATAGTCTTGCACGGGCAGGATCCGCCACTATAATCTGTGGCCCAGAACCTTTCTGTGGATTAAGTTGGTCTACAACTAGGTCTCTAATCATTAATTGGATTTGATCTGCCGAGAGAAGTCGCTACTGGCGCGACAGTCGAGGTAACCGTCAGGCTAAAGAGCTGAATCTCCCCTATAGTTATAATAAAATATCCTCCTTTAGCAAAACAGAGTTGAGGTTGCTAGTGGGATATATAGCGGGTCACCATGGGCTACGTTACCACCTCAACCAAATGGGCCTATCCGAAGAGATAGATTGTAGACTCTGCTTGGAGGCAGAGGAGACAACCAGCCACATTCTATGTGACTGCCCAGCTTTGATCTGGGCCAGGAGGAGATCACTGGGTCGGGAATTGCTAGCACCTTCCGACATTAGGAGGTCCTCAACAACCGACATTTTGGCCTTCATTCGAAAGGCGGAATGTCTTTTGTTCAGTTAGGGTCTGTTGTAGCACAAAAGATCAATCATGGTCGCGGTGGTCTGCCAAATGGGAGCTAATACCCTGTTCTTTCTCATCTTATCGTAAGATTGCTAAGATATACTTTTAGAAACTCGTTTTTAAATAGCTTGATTTGGGTACTCAGATATTCAGTTAATCTATTTAGTTCTGTTTTGTAGGATGGATACCTTGTTAATTGCCATTTTTGTCTATGCTTACGTTTTTTTGATATTAAATGTCGGATGTTAGCAGGATAGGTTTGGGGATGTGATTTAAAACTGGAGAATAGAATACTATTCCATGCTACGTTCTGAGAGTCCGCGTGAATATGTGGACTTCATCATCAAACCGTTGATTGGACAAAATTTCAGAAGATTAGTCTACGTTTTCATCTAGGGACTTACGAAAATAACTCCAATAGGTTAGTTTGCTGGTTAGAAAAGATGGTTGCTGCCTTAAGGTAACAGATTCAAATAATATTAAATAAACAAGCGAATGGTCCGAGTTGAGTTCACTTTCTCATACAAATATATAAGGTTTGCCAACCATGAGGTGAGTAAGCACCAGCAGTAGTGCAACCATAGAAGTTGTTAGTATAAATGGTATTAATATGTTCGGTAGTGAAGACAGTACTATGTCCTATAGTAGTAAACACCATGTTGTTTATATTAAATATAAATAAAATAATAATAAAAGGAAATAAAGCGTTCTTCTGAAAAAAACAAAGAAATAAAAAATTTAATTGCTACAAATATTTAAAGAAATGCTATAAATAAAATTGAAATGTCTGTAAAATCATAATAACTGTCTAATGTTGATCTCAGGGTGTTATTTATACATACCTTGAAAATATCAGTATAATCAATTAAGAACAATGAAAACGCAAACAAATTTATCAATAAATGATGCAGAGATTGGGTATTTTATATTTTTATTTATTTAATTTTAAAAAATTTGTTTTTAATTGATAATTATTTTATTTATTTAACTTCTAAAAAAATCAATTGAATCAAATATTTAGTAGATTCCATGAAATAAAATAAAATTTAAAATATGTACATTGTATGAAAATGCCCGCATGCGTATAACTATTATTACAACACTTAATATGAATAAAATTAGATATACTGTACTTCTGGTATGTTTAATTATAAAGTGTACAAAGTTATTATTAAGTTTATACTTAAGTATTTAAGTATTTAATTATTAATGTTGAATACTTACTATAAATTGTATGCAATCAATCTATTTTTTATGATTAAATTAAATTTCGTCAATAATTTAATTTTATATGCTTTATTTATTTAATAATAAGAACTTTAAAATGTACCATATTTGAATATATATATTAATATATAAAACATAGTTATTAAACATGGTGTTTATTGATATACTACATGATATCATTGCTACTAGAGAGCATAGTACTGTCTTCACTACCGAACATATCAATACCATTTATACTAACAACATCCATGGTTACATTACTGCCGGTGCCTAATCACCTTATGGTAGGCAAACCTCATATTTTTATATAATACCAGCATAACATTTCATCAAATATCAAATTTATAATAGTTTAGAAGAACTTGTACATTGCATGCACACAAAGTCAATCATATATTTTACGGAAAATATATACAAAAACAAATATGCATTAACTTCAGAAATATTGCCTCACCTAACCTTGCATACGAAATTATTCAGTAAGTATGCGATAAGAATTAGGAATAGAAGCAGTGTCTCTGACTACTATCATCAAAAGCGCTTTCCTCGATATTCCCTCCTAACCAAAAGAAACAAAATTTTGTATATTTAAAACAAAAAATTGCATTTCACTGATTGCAGTTTCGTCTCGATGCAGCAAAACTCAGGAAGCTTAAGAACGTAAAACAGAAAATCGTCGCCATATAAATCACATAAGCATCCAACTTGATAATATGAATAGAAAATATAGCAAAAATTTCTATATTATATCACACACCATCTCTTATACGTACATTCACCAGCTCTTTTGTATGTTTCGAACACTTAAGATCATTGTGTTACACACAGCTTTTGTATACCTTAAGTTTTCTACAATCCAAAATTCATGGGAGTCATTTCTGTGTGCTATAAGTCAGTCGAAAATAACTGTAAGCTTCGTTAAATGACACCTCACGAACAAATAATCTAACAAAAATGGAATATAATTAAAAACAGTTTTTCTATTTGGAAATTTAATAAAGTTCTTATCTAATTTTGTTAATCAAATCACATAGTTAGATAAGCGATTTTGTGTAAGAAAAGGGATTATGACACCAAAGGAAAAGCAAAAAAATTTTAAAAACCATATGTTGTGAAATGGTTTATTAATGATAGAATGGATTGATTATATTAATATATTTTAAAACAAAAGGTAAAGCTGAATGAGAAAAATTAGAACTTTTAGACAGTTTTACTTTTTTTAAGACAATAATACTAAGTACATATCGCAAATGGCAAATTCTTGTCGTCATGTTGCAGTTCAAAACTTTCACAGCCACCTGCACACCCTCCGGACTTAAATGTAATCGAGCATATATAACAAAGAACTCGTCAAAACACTGCATTCAAAGACGTCTTGAAATACTATGAAAATGAAAGATTAAATTCAGTCAAACGGCCTAAAATTATTTTGTTATGAGAGCTGAAGGAAATGCTACAATGTTTTATTTTTATTATTTACAAAATATTAATTGTATTTTTAAAGAAAATTTTTCTTGATTTTCTGCTTAATTAATTAAGCTTAAGAATTGTATACTTATTTGAAAGTCTTTTAAAAACAATTGACGAATATAAGAAGATTCAATTTGAATATATGTTTTGTATGGTTTCGTTATTATTATATTGTATTATAAGACTTTTTATCTACTACAGCTTTTTTATACAATATTTTGTCTTCTTACTGAACAGTGAAGAACTAAGATTAATTAGTCTTTCGGTCATACTCATATAAGATATATATTATTTATAATTACCTGTAACTCTTCAGTTGTAATTTGCACACTCGTATGCGATGGAAGGACTGATGTTTGGGCTTGTGGTGAAGTCATATTTTGCGATAAAGGTTGCACCACAGCAGCGTTATTAGAGTTTATTTGAAGTTGAGGTTTATTTTGCTCCTGTTCAAAAGGATTGTAATCTTCCAAAGAATTTTGAATACTTGATGCATTTTTAGTTGCATGTTGAATAGCTGGATCCTTTATGAAAATATAAGTTAAAAAAACTTGAAAAATACGAAAATCGAAAATTCAGTTGACTTACGGCAAATGGATTATCCACAAGAGGTTCTCCGAAAGGATTATCCTCAAACACAGACATTGTATATATGCAGATGTGCTTTATTTATGGGTTTAAAAGTATTGAGGAATGTTGCGATATGTAATAATTACACTATTACTTTTAAAGTTACTTGCATAAAAATATAGAACCAGGTTCAATTCATACTCATTCCTTTATATGACTAAGTATTTAAATGAACTGATTGAGAAATGGGGTTTGCACGTATTTACAAATACGTGCAAACCAACACAAAGCAATGATGTTCAGCCAACACAAAGCAATGATGTACGTGAACTGAGTGTCGTTTCTGGAAGGAACGTCGTTGTAAAGGGACGCAACTATTGATATATTTTTCAATATATGTTATATATAGTTAAATAAAGCATTTAGGTAGGATAAAATATATGACTTAAGAATGTAAAAATTTTAAAAATATACTGTTTTTCTTAATACCATAATATTATTATATAATTTGTAATAAGAATTAAAGATGTAATTGTAGTAGACTATTTAATGGAAATAATAACTAATAACATCCGGAAGTGCTATTACTTCCGGATTACTTTATTCGCAGCCGGAAGCTAAATTATCATTAAGGTGATAAATTATATTTTATTTGCTCATTTAGCAGATTTAAATGATCATTTATGGTCTATAAATGACCTAATTTAACCAAATTTATTTCTCATTTAGGTTTTTAGAAATGGTAATGCTGCATATGAAAATGAAACGAAATAAAAATTAAAACAAATTTCAAGCGATTATTTAATTGTCAAAGTTTAAACAATTCAGATTTGCGAAAAATGATCTTTTTGCTTTGAATTTAGTTTGCATAGTAAAAAGTTTATTCATAGCTTCATGATTTTTTTTACTTTCATTAATAATATTTTTAGTTTTAAATTGAACGAACAGCGTCCTTTTAACCAAATTAAAGCGAGTTTCTTTAATTATTTCGGCTTATCCATTTTGAATTCAAAATTCTCTCGCTTTTTCATTAACAAAACATATGATACAGCAACTTCCTAATGATAATTTATACTATCTCTCAGGATATTTTTTAAATGATCATTTGAGGCTGCTTAATAATAATTAAGCGCGTTCGTCTGTCAATGCTATAAGGAAAGCACTCAAATTCATTACATTGATTCTATTATTGATTTAAATATTATACTCAATATATTTTAATAATATGTTTTTTATTTTAAATTATATCTAATTAATATATTTCACATATTTTACAAGTATTTACTATAATATAATTCAATATAACAAAAAAATGTTGTTTTTTATGTATTGAATGTATAAATCAACGATTGAAATATGAATATCTTGTTATTTTGAATATATTTTTTTTTTGTCATTTTCAGGTGCGCCAAATTATCCCCGTGGATAAATCGGAACAAAATGAAACCATTTTTTCATCCACGAATTTTGTATAAATATTTTGTCGTGTCCATGACCTATTTCAATGCTTAATGTGACAGGTCATTGCATTGTAGACAAAACAAATGTGACATAATTTATTAAATGCACTTTTGTTGAACTGTCGCTTTGACTTTGATCATGTTACATTTTTGATGCATTTGACTCATGCAGTTACAAATGCGTGACATGCGCAATCTAGCGGGTACAAACATTTCTGAAGATGCACTTTCAACTCTGTGGGCACAACGCTTGCCCAGCAACGTTAGATGCATTTTGACTGCATGCAACGCTGGCAGTTTGGAAAGCATGGCAGAATTAGCTGACAGAATCATGGACAATTTACCAACACCACAGTTCGTTATGGCTACAACAACTGGTACTCATTTTAATCAATCGTCATCGCCGTTAGAAGCGCGAGTACTTGCATTACAGACAGCAGTACAGCAAATTATAAGCAGCCTGGGTGAGTTAACGATGCAGTTAAAATCTAGCAGTCGTGGTAGAAGTACGGACCGTCGTCACGAAAAAAGAGATCGCAGGCACAGCAATATGAGAAACAAAGTATGCAGTTACCATACACAATTTGGGTCCAGGGCGTTTAAATGCACTCCACCATGTGAATTCAGTAAGGCAGCTGGAAATCACAGCTCAACACCATCAGCGGAAAACTAAAAACGTTATCGCAAACAAGTGCGGCATGCGATAACGAACCCCCCTGCTGCACGATCGAGATCCGTCTCCACGTCTTTGACAAACTAAACGAATTGAACTTCTTAGTCGACACAGGTTCAGTTGTCTAAGTTGTGCCAGTAACTCTCATCAATAGTAAACCAAATCCAATTACAAGTAAAGACGTCAGATTATATGCAGTGAACAACACAACAATAAATACATTTGGAGTAAAAAGGTTGAAAGTTGACCTAGGTCCTCGCCGTGAATTTTGTTGGAGCTTCATCATAGCCGACGTAAAATCACCGATCATAGGAGCAGATTTTTTATCTAGATTTGGTTTCATACTAGACATAAAAAAAAAGCTAATTGATCCGCTAACAACGTTAAATGTGGTTGGTGCAATCAGAAAAGTCACCACACACTCGATCTCAACGCTGCACAAAAATAGCAATCTCTTCACAATAATCAATAAATACATTGACCTAGCTAATCCCAACTCGTATCGCCTTCCGAAAAACTCGCAGGTTGATCACCGTATAGAAACGAATTGTCAACCGATAGCCGAGAAGCCGAGGCGTTATGCAGGTGAGAAATTAACAGCCATAAAGAACGAATTCAGCACATTGCTTGAACAAGGAATAGTGCGACCATCTGATAGGCAATGGTCCAGTCCTGTTCATCTAGGGAAAAAGAAAACCGGCTGTTGGAGAGCGTGTGGAGACTTCCGCAGACTAAATGCACATACTAAACCAGACAAATACCCAATACCGTTCCTGGATCAAATTTCTGAGAGACTTTTTGGCGCCTGTAAATTCTCAAAAATCGATATCAACAAAGCGTATTATAATATACCAATGGCCTCAGAAGACATCTGTAAAACTGCAGTAAGCACTCCACTAGGTATGTTCGAATTCGTTGTTATGCCATTTGGTCTCAAAAACGCAACACAAACGTTTCAAAGACATATGGATTCGTTATTCAGAAATATTCCTTTCGTTTTCTGTTATCTCAATGACATATTGGTTTTTTCTCGAAACATGCCAGAACATGAAAAAACGTGAAAACATGAAAAACACGTAGAAATTGTGCTAAATAAGCTACAGGAAGCACATCTTGGCGTTAATATTGCTAAATGCTAGTTCGGTGTTGATGAATTGCAGTTCTTGAGTTATCATTTGTCAGCAAGTGGCATGAATCCCCCAGCAGAGCATGTAGAAGCCATTCAAAATTATGTTCGATCCAAGACAATACATGAAATTCGTCAATTTCTTGAAGTTGTCAATTATTATCGTAAGTACATTCCTCGAGCGGCACAGCTACAAGCACCCCTAAGTAGCAGACACACTCTCGCGGATCAACTCGATAGCCATGCCAGAAACTTGCAGCCTAGAGCGGATAAGCAAGCACCAGGAAGATGATGAAGAACGAAAACAGTTGTTGTCCACAGGCACGAAATTGCAACTGAAGAAATTGCAGTTGCAATCGAACTTGGGGACATACTGTGATGTCACCATGGGCCAGTTAAAACCATTTATATCCAAATCTTTACGCAAAGAGGTATTCAACTTAGTGCATTCTTTGGCACATACTGGTTCCAGATCCACAGCACGACAACTCGCATCAAAATACGTGTGGCCATCAATGCGCAAAGACATAAACACTTGGGTTCGACAGTGTAAGGGTTGTCAGCAGTCCAAAATCAATAGGCACAACAGAATGAAGCCAACCGAATTTCCAAAAACCGATCAGCGATTCGACCATGTCCATCTGGATTTAATTACATTACCAGAATGTCAGGGTTATAGATACGCATTAACCATGATTGACAGGTTTAGTCGATGGCCAGAAGTGACACCCTTAAAAGACATGACCGCAGATACAGTAGCCGTAAATTTCTATGCAACCTGGGTATCCCGGTTTGGTGCGCCGAAAGTAATAACAACAGACCAGGGAACACAATTCGAAGCAGATCTGTTCCGAGCTTTGACTGACCTGTTAGGAACCAAACGAATCCGCACTACGCCTTATCATTCACCAGCGAATGGGATGGTAGAGAGGTTCCACCGTACGTTAAAAGCAGCACTAATGGCAAGACCGAAACATACATGGCTGTAATTACTCCTATCAGTTCTTTTAGGGTTACGAGTATCAGTGAAGGAAGACATAGGAGCATTTGCTGGAGAGATGATTTATGGTATCAACCTCCGTCTGCCTGGAGAATTCTTTGAACATAAAACCCAATCAACTTCGTCAACGCCTCCTAATCAATCAAATTTTCTAAATAAATTTCGTGAATATTTGCGTGAAGTGCGACCAACGCCAGCAGCACATCATAGCAACAGGCCAATTTTCATACATAAAGAACTCAACAATTGCTCACACGTTTTTCTGCGTTCAGATCACATCAGAAAACCACTAGAACCACCATATACAGGACCGTATGAAGTATTGAACAAAATAACTGAACGAGTGTTCACAATTGAAGTAGGTGACAAAAAGTTGAACGTTTCAATCGAAAGATTGAAGCCAGCGTTCCTGGAAAATACAGATGTTCCAGCAGAACCGAAGTTGTTAGAAATCTTGGTAGACAATCCTAGGCCAAAGCATGACACACCACCAGCAAGAAGCACGCAGAAAAAAGTTACGTTCGCGGAAGACCCGCTTCAATTAAACAACAGTCCATTGCAGTCAGACGCCATAGACAAAAAGAAGGTCACACTCACACGTAGTCTTCATCACAATCCTTCGGCTATCGTCTAAGAAGGGAGTACTGTGGCGGATGTGGCAACCACAGATAATTATTAAGACACGGAAAGCACAATGGCAACGTTGTAACTTCACAAGCAAAAGTCATATAAAAGCAGAACACAAGTAGGCATCACTCTCTTTTGCATTCGAGCCGTCAGCGAACAAGGACACAAGGAGTTATAGTGGAACAAATAAACCACATATGTATGATTAAACACTTATTATGAACATGTTAGAATCATTTTTGTATATTAAAATATTAATGATAAGAAGTAATCTGTGGCAGTATCACATAAAGATGAGAAAACACAAAAACATGGTGGCAGCATTACTAAAAGACAAGAATACATAATACATGATGGCAGCAAGCGAGGCTTGCTATAGTTTGGTTTTTCGGTGACAGCGCTCTTTTCATTAAGAATAAAATATTAGACAGCAGCAGTTTTATCCGTGAGCTTATGTATTTAAATTATTTTGATTGTAATAATTGCGTAATAGAAAGCTTTTCATAGTTAATCAAAAACTGCAAACTCAACTAAAAACATAATCTACATTATTCGACTATAAAGCGAAGTGCAAATACTTACTGTTATAAGAATAAGTTGTATAATCTTTTAATTGTTTTCTTAGCTTCATTAATTGAATAAAAATAAATATTGTGTAAACATAAACGAAATAGCATTCACATAAAAACCCAAATACTGATTGGTTATTTCTAGTACTTAAGAAATACAAATCTTTGTTAGTATATAAGTCTTAAACGGTATAAATACCGGAACATTTTACTAAATAAATTAGACTTAATTCTAAATTTAAAGCATACACTTGTCTTTTGAATTACTGATCTCAAGTTCTGTGCGGCTTACTAAGCTGATGAGAACACTATTCTATACGGTATAACTGCTGGAGAGCTAAGACAATATTCAAAATCCTTTTCAACTATACCTCGACATTTGTTCAAAGCATACCTACATCATTATATGTCGACGATACTTTCATTACATGCCGATTACTTTCATAACATGGCGTTATTTTAATACAATCAGCTGTTCTTTGTTTTTGTCGTCAGTACAAAGAAATTTGAATATCAAAATGTACATAAAATGCTTAAAAAGAGCATAAAAAATCAAATTATAGACGCAAAATTTTGCGTTTTCGGATTTCGTTAGACACTGAAAATGGGAAATAAATAAGTCATATGTATATTTTTATTTCGCATAGCCTATTTTAACTTACTTTTGAAAATTTAAATGTTTGTTTACAAACAAAACCATCTGCAAATGTTAGTGATGCCAATTTTAAATTCACAGTTTGTGATGCCATTCGGTGAAATTAATCTTTTTTGTGATGCTATTTGCTTGAATTTTGTATTATTTTTCAACACTGTAAAAAACCATATATTCACACAAATTTGTATAATAGGCAGGGGTTGCACAAAGTTTATTTTTATTCAGTGCATTTTGTTGTTGCTCACATAAGTACATCCGCACATAACCCGATAACCAGTGCTCCATGAACACCCTAATTATAAAAAATGTTGACATCTGTTTTTGAAAAGAGCCAGTACAGATTTGAGATAAAGTATAGTAAATTGAGATAAAGTAAATTGAAATTTCCTAGGGATTTTTTTGCACTGTACATATGAAAATATTTATATATTTATTTATTGTATTTATTTATTATTTTTGGTTAAAAGTTTTCAAATTTATTTATTAAACATCTTATAAAATTTTCACAATGGTAACACCTTATTTACTTAATTTTTATATAATATACCCTATTCGAAATTCTGGTAAATACCAATATTTACTGCCATACCCATATAATTTACTATTTCCTTCAATTTACTATTAATTTAATTGAACTCACACACGGCCGTAGTGAGATAAATATTATTATTTGTTAAAAAGTAGAGTTGCAACCATTACGACAAGAAAAGGCTATGCAAGTTGGAAAAGACAACAAAATAACATTAGTTTTGATGTATGAAGTACAAATTAATTAAAGAATTATGAAAAAACGATTCTATAGTAAAAAATGGAACTCATGAATTGGAACCATGAACTAAGTATTGAAAAACGCAATCACATGTGCATTCAACAGCTTTTAAAAAAGCGATAAATAATCTCTTGTGAAACTTCATTGCAAATTTCAACAAATATTCCAGTTATGTCAAAAATTTTTAAATAATATATGTAATAAAATTAAAAAGTTTCAGACTTTGGAAAATATGGAAATAAAACATTATAAAACTAATCAAAATTGTGGAAATTAAATATTTTAAAAGTATGCAAAATTGTGAAAAATAAATATTTTAAAAATAAAAATACGATAACATAACATTTGACAGACTACAATAGTGATGTCAATATCTCGCTTAACGCCTATATTAGACAACTTGTTATATTTTGCCATACTTAATACACCTATTATTAATTATGCAGCATAATTTAGTTAAGGCTGCAGAATAAAGAAATTAAAAATAAAGACGCATCATGCACTGGAAGACCAATTGTCAAAAATGATAATAAAATCATTGAAATTGATAAAATCGACGTGTTGTTGTCATGTGAGCACTGTTTCGGTGGCCCAAAAGCTAAAGATTGCACAAAAAACTATTCCACGCTTGGAACGATTTGAATAAGGCTGGATAAAAAAAAAAGCTCAATGTATAGATACCACGTGTTCATAACCTTTACGCGGTAAGCACCTTCACGTGATGTAGAGGGTTAGCCACAACTCGGACTATACTAATGGATATACACAGTCATTTTGCACCTGTGTGATGACGAATATTCATTGTGTTTCTGGAACGAGGTATACAACCACGATCTACCTTTTGGTTTAAGGTAGTTTGTGTTGCCATGTAGTTTACGTTTTACGTAATTGTGTTTTAGCTTGTTTTATGTAGTAATTTACTGTTTTTCTGTGTAGTTTTATGTGGACTGAATGGCATGGTCCGAATGACTATTTTAACATCTAAGCGTTTTGGGGAGTAGGTGGATTTTTCGCATTTTGGTGCTACAGAGTAAGTTCGTCAATCGATTGGCCTTTAATAGAAGTGTAGTTGTTCGTGTGATCGATGATCTTAAAACAGTTAGGTTATGTTTCTGCTGCTTTGGCCTTTAATAGAAGTGTAGTTGTTCGTGTGATCGATGATCTTAAAACAGTTAGGTTATGTTTCTGCTGCTTTGAAGTGTGATGAAGGAAAACACCTTGACTGAAAGTACGAAAGGTTATACTTCTGTCTTTGTTCATAGATTTAATTCTTAACTTGGAAAGTGCTACAGCGGATTGTAGAAGGTTCTTTACTCCACAAAGTCTTTGCCGTTGACGATGCATCCTGGAATATACTCGATCAGAGTGGAGGAAGAGTAGCGTACAGTTTCAGTCACATTAAGCTGTTTCTGAAAGAAAGCAACATATCAAACGAGGGGCAAACATACTCCAGGTCACAAGGACGGAGGGACATAATGTTGAGCACATGGTCCCACAAGCAATATCAACGTCTTCTGTGAATATATGTGAGCCACAAACCACGCCATCCACCAGGTGCGACCACCTGTAGGTAGAGCATTCTCGACTTCAGGCATGCGCCGAAAAGAAAGATGCCCACAAAGAGCTGGGCTTCAGAAGAAAGTCGAAGACTCTTATGAAATAATCCAATGAAATGAGCAATATAGGGGTGCTACAAGCGAATCTAAACCATGCGAAAGAAGCTTAGGCTACTTTGTGCAGGACCTTCGTCATAAAAGAGCTGCCATAGCGCTCATTTAAGAGTGTCGGTGTGTATATAAGAGGCCTTCAGTATCAATCAAGTAAGTTGATAAATAAACTTGATATAGACTCACCTAGAACTGCTATACTAATAAACAAAAATTTTAACTGTATTTTAATTCCAGATTTTATTCAGAGGTTATCATCATAAGGACGGCCTATTTTTCTGGTGATGCAGGTGAAGCACCACCCGAAGCAATTGAAACTTGGAAAGTCTTTGCAAATCTAATAATTTACAATTTATAATGGATTGTGTCATCAACGTGCACCACACCTTATGGGGTAACACTAACACTAACACTAATTATATTGAACAATGGTTCTGAAGCTATTTTTATTAATGACAATAGAAGAGAAATTCTTGACCATACTTTTTCTATTTAATTTATCTCCAATTATGTTGGTAATTGGAGGGCCTCAAAAGTTTCTCTATCTGACCATTAGGGTTAGATTATACTTGAAAATTCAATAACATATCAGCCAAGAAGTCTTCAGACTATCCTTAGCTAGTAAGAAGGATCAATTACTGAATTCAATCAGTCATATTGATGAACTCGAACAGCATACCAAATAAACTCTGTATCTCCCAAGCGCATAAAAATGCATGTAAAGTTGCACCGCGCACACCCAAACAGGATGTTTCATGGTGGAATAAAAAGCTCGATGATATGCGCAAAGAAGTTAGAAAGTTTTTTAATGTAGTTAATCGATGAAGGGTATGGGTAGACTATAAAATATTTCGGACTGCGTACAACAATGAGACTAGAAAATCTAAACGGAGGTTTTGGAAAACTTTCTGTAACAGTGTTGAGAACACTCTACAAATGATTTGCCTTCACAAGGTGTTGAGAAAGTCGCTTACAAATAACATTGGTCTCTACACAGCGAATGGCGGTGAAACATTTGCAATATTTTTTATGTGTGCATTTTCCAGGATCGATCTTATGTGATGCATCCATGGATAGGCGCACCTTAAACTATGAACAATCAGACAAACAACTGAGACTTACTTTTCTTATCTGGACTTACTTTTGATGATAGAATGAGATTGGCAGTAAATTTTTTCAGTCCCTTTAAGTCCCCAAGAGGTGATGGTGTCTTTCTGGCAAGCCTATGCTGGATGTATATGGCTAAATCTAAAAGAGAAATTAACGTGGTATTTATACCACAAAATGGTAATGGATTAAGTGATGGCAGTAGTTTATCTGAAATTATGGTAGGACACATTTGGCGCA